CCCTCCAGCCCCAGGTGGAGCAGCTCGCCAGGGCAGCTCCCAGCAGCAGCCTCAGCTGCTTTCGGAAGAGTAAATGAAAAAAAACCAAAAACCAAACCAAGAAAGAAATCCCCCAACCCGAATCACCTTTCCCTGGTATTCCCAACTCCAATGCTAGAGATCTCTAACTCTGCTTCTTCACCCTCCTCCTCCAACACCTGACGGCAAAACCCTGCAAGTCAGCGTCTCTCCCCAAAACCATCAAGACCAAGGCGACCAAGACCAAAGCTGAACGCGAGGTACGCGATGGCCAAGCTTTGGTGTCCGTTTAACTCCAGGTTTGAGAGGCTGTGCTGGGCAGGCAGAAATCTCCAACAGCACCTATGCATGGACAACACTGGACAGTAGACAATGGTCACTCAGACATCGTTCAGGAGTTCACTTTTATTTATTTTTTGCCTTCTGGATCAGCATCGCCCTCACTGACACTTCTCTGGGATTCTACCCCCACCCCCCTGCAAGTAGCACACAGTCTCCCCCTTCGTCCAAGCAAGTGAGGGGAAAAGAACAACAACAAAAAAATCCCCAGCAAGATGACTGAGCCTGGGGCCAAACGCTTGTTTTGAGGGGGGGGCAATGAATTCCGTGATGGCAGTTCTGGCTTCAAGAAGCCAGACTGAAAAGGAGATCTACAAAGGGGAAAATGGGCTAAAAAAGATTTTGCAATCCTTCCTCTACCCAGAGAGCAGGGAGATAAGGAAAAAATAGTCATCTGATTACACACAGGGTATATATTTTTACACACACTTTTACACACATCTAGATATCGTACATGTAAAAATATATGCTATACAGATGCCCATTCTCACCAAGGTGCTCTTAGTCCACCACCTGCACTGTGCGTATGGGCATGTATACGTGTGTATGAATTAAATGTACAGGTACTACTAAGTGTATATGTGCATATGTACACATACATACAGGCAGGCAGCCTACCACCAGCTACCTGTGCCTTCCTCTTTGTACAAAACCCAGTCCTCCCACCCTGAAACACCATCACGCTCTCCCCAGCCCACTTTGAAACAGGTCCCCCAGTGTAGCAGCTTCTTTCTCAACAAGCACGTCAAGGAAAATAACTTTGCAAAGGGAAGAGGAGAAAAATCAAAGTGAAGCGTGTGTGGCTCATGCCCGTGGTTGCTCTGAGGTCCTTCAGCTCCCCTCCTGGGCCTGGAGCAGGGGACTGCTCGCTGGGGAGCAGCCAGCCAAGCGCCGTCCCTTCCCCCTCTGCCAGCTTATTGCACATCTGCTTCTGGGCTGCATTTCGACCACGCATTACATTCCACAGACCCCATCATCCCCTCATTTCAATCAAACAGAGGAACACAACCCCCCAGCCCGGTCCCTGCCCACCCGTCCTCCCCCCACTCCAGCACAGCCCCAGCAAAAGGAAAACAAAACAAAACCCCAAGAAAGGCTGCTTGCTAGCAGAGTGCAACAGTAGTACAGACTGAATGGGTGTTCTCTGCAGGAGCTCGGTGGAAGGAGGTTATTTCTAACACTGTAAACGAAGCCATGCAAAGGGTGGGAGAAAGGAAGCAGGAGGAGGAAAAAAAAATAAAGGATGAGAAAGAAGAACGGAACCGAGGAGGAGGAAGAACACAGCATGGCAAGTGCTCAAGGCTTCATGTTTTCTTGTCCTCTTCTTGTAAACAAGCTAATAATTCTCATTAGATAGAACAAGTAAAAAGACTGAAGTTCCAAGTCGAGGGGCTGGAGTTTCCAGGAGTCCGTTCAGTCCGTTCAGCAACACCACAGCCAGTGAGAAAACGAGGGGTATTTTTTTCTTTTTTTGTTTGTTTTTTTTAAAATCTTCATTACTTAAAGCTGAGAGAAAAAAGCCAACTCAGGAGCCCTTTTCAAGGATGGCTCATTGTCTCTAGACTGAATAAATCACACTAGTTTAGAGAGAACCTTTTTTTTTTTTTCCTTTTTAATGACTTATAAAAACCACGCGGTTCCTTCCTCTGCCCCTTTGCTCAAAGGCGGGTCTGTGCCTCGGGTACGTAGATCTCGATGCTGTCTGCGCTGGCCGTGTTCCGCCCGAACAGGCGCACCCCGCTTGCCTGCCATAAGACGCTTGCGAGCTTCCTGGCGCTGCTTGTCTGAATCGGAGGCTTTGTCCCGGTTCAGTTGGGATTTGGACTTGGCTGGCTTCTTTGGCACTGGAGGGGGTGGTTTCTTCTCTTCCTTTAGGGAGACAGTAAGGAAAAACCCAAACATAAAATAAAAATGCACATACAGAAGCTTGCTCTCTGATCTGGTGGGGACTCTTACGGCGTGAGGGACTAAGCAATGAGATCGAGCGTCAGGTGAAAGAAGCAGGAGCAGTTCTGAATCGAGACACCCACCAAAATCAGCTCTCCCAATTTCTAGAAAAGCGCCATTTCATGGTACAGAGGCTTTCTGTGAAGCGGACTAGCGTTTGCAGACTGTCTCTGGCCCAGCTATGGGTCGGAGCACAGCACAGACAACACGAAGACTGAACTTGATCTGGAACTGCAAAATTTTACTATGCCACCCTGCCCAGAGCCACAGTCCTCCTCCCTTCCCTCACGGCCAGTCAGGCAGCCTGGCCCAGCTGCACAGCCTGTCCTGCGTTTTCAAGAGGTTCCAGTAGGTGTTCTTTGTACTTCTCAGACACCAGGAATCGTTAAAGCCTACTCCTACAGCGCCTGGAACACTAGAGGCCTCTGTATCACTGCTTTACGCACGCACCGCCACTCATCGCTCTGTCTCTCTCCATTTGTGCCGCTTTTTCCCCGGCACAAAATTGTTTCCACTATGACTCAAGAGGAATGGTCTCGGTGCATTGCAAGGCTGTGAGACCACACTGCACAGCTGCAAGGTGGTAAAAGCCCTGGAGATCTTCTGTTTGCAGACAGGAATAGACCTCAGACACCTGAAATGTCTGCGAGGTGCTCTGACCACTCTCAACTGCCCCACACTCACCTTTCTCTCCGGTGTCTCTGCCAATTGCCAGCTATTAGCTTTCAGGTGGTACAGCTCATCGAACTTCATGCTGATGTCTTCAATGGACAGCTGCAGGAGATCCCAAAATCCGGCTAGGTCCTGGGCTGTGGGTCTGGGATTGGCATTAGGGTTCTAGAAGGCAAAGCATAAAAACCCCCCACCTTTCAGAAAGAAGATACACTCCTGACAAGCAGAGCAGTCTGCACAGCTTACATTTTCACCCCTTGTAAGTCTACCTGCCTGACAACCAAAACATCAAGGACCCACAGGAGACACCAGCCCTGAATATGCAGAGACACAACGCCATCATTTAGAGTCAAAACTATTTCTGCCAAGATCAGGAAGCAGAGATTCTGACTGTATTTCTCCTACGGGAGCCTGAAGAAGAATCCTGAAGACGACACCCTGTAGCAGCACGCAACAGCTCCCCTTCTTGCTAACGCTTCCACAGCTGGCGCTAATCCCAGAGCAGCAACCTCCAAGTGAAGGTGCCCAGCACATGATTCAGAGCTAGAACGCTGGTTCCTTACACAGAGATGCAGGGATTTCAGGGTGGGTGATAATGGAAATGGACACAGCATGATGCAAAGCACAGCTCTGATACCTGCAGAATTTGCATGCCAGTGTACAGCAATCCAAAGCAGCCCATATAGCTTTGATGAGCAAAATTACTTTGCTACATCCCCCCACAAAACAAACTGAAAGTATCACTATTTCTCAGGCTAGGCTGAAAAATTTTAAGTAGCTCAAGTTTCTTCCAAGAACAGAATTTTCCCAGTTCCGAGACACCCAAACTGCCATCACAGGCCTGGACTGTCTCAGGAAAGCACGGGGTCAGATCTGAGCAACCTGGCACAAAGCACCCAAGGGGGACCTCAGCACAAAGCTCTGCTGCAAGCCTGGCAGCTCTGGTGCTGCTGCTAACCTCTCAGCTGCGATCAGCCAGGGATCAGCACTTCACCCCCCTCTTCCTCCACCCCGAGTTCCTCTAAGGCTTTTTGCCAGCAAAGGGGAATTCACCTCTGAGGAAGTCTGCAAAATCCATACCACAATAAAGCTTGAGGGGAAAAACAAAACACCGACTCCCATCCATCCCCAGGTCAGCCCCATCTGGCTCTCAACGAGGGGAAAACCCCTGCATTACATCTGAAGAGACCCGATTCAAGCAGTGCTTTGTGACCAACAAGGGACAATGGTGCTGGGACCACATGCAAAGCAAGCACGTCTGGAGAACAGCAGCAGACTTTTCAAACATTCCCCTCTATCTGGCAAAACCTCAGCAGTTCACCTCAAAAAGCCCTTCAGAAGTAACACGAAAGAGGCAGTTTCCAGGACACAGAGCAGTATGGCTCGCTGACAATTCAGACTCACAGAGAGACTCAGCGTGTTCAGCGTGCCCCGATCAGCAGTTCAAGAAAATTCCCCTGTGCTCACGTAAGCACCAAAAGGAATTCCAAACACTCGTCCTGGAGCATAGCGCAGCCCAAGAACTGCCTCTTCGGAAGCAGGGCTGAGGCAATCAGCCTCCCACTGCTCAGCTGCTGTTTTAAATCAGCATTCACCCACCAAGGCACGGTGGTCAGGTTGTAGGCTACAGCTGCATCGGCTTTGTTTCTACGGTGACAGTAGCCTGTTAACACCTGATCGTGTTCCCGGAGTGCTGATGAGACAGATCAAAACCCAGGAGAAACATGCAGACTCACCAAGTTTTGTTCACAGAGGCCATGGAATTGCTGGAACTTCTGTGACATTAGTAACTGTGCGCTGCCCACTGCACTCAGGACTTTTCCTAAGACTATGGGGGAGAAAAAAGAAAAAAAAGAAAAAGACCTCAGTTGAACAGACTATTAAATGCAGCAACAAACTCAAGTGTTTCTAGAGCAAAGAAACACTCTTGACTCATTAGAAAAGGAGTTTGCGATCCCCAAGGAACTAATTGCTCTCAGGGAAAGAAGATGTATTGAAACTATAATCTACATCTGTCTTTGCCATCTATTATTGCTCCTTCTAGAGCAGGTCAAAAGCAGGCCAGACTGCGAACATTACGTCAGAGCTGGCAGAAAGCACCTTAAACTGCCTTCAGCCCATCAGCCCAGCCACCAGCACAAGCCCAGCCAGCAGATCTGCTGGCACCTGCTTGCAGATCACAACCTGCTCTTCCACTCATGCACGAGGGGAAGGGAGCAGGGGGCAGGAGAACCATCTCCAACCTCCATTTACCAGAAGGGATTAAAATACTGGCAGGCTAGGGCATTTAATACCCAGGGCTTTATGCTTATTTTAGTGGGTTTTCCAGGAAGCCTCTGGGCATGGCAACATTCCTCTGCTCATTAATGGAAAGACAGTATATGGGCTTTACCCTTCCAAAGGCAGGGTTGAGACACCCGCAGCGCATGCAACGGCCCCGGGAACAGGGTGAACTGGTCCCCCCTCTCCTCCCCAGCCTGCTGCCGCACCTACCACGTCAGCTCTGAACGTTTCTAGATCTTGGTGGGACCAGCGTAAGCTGGGCTCTCTCCGTATCCACAGAGCTCTCGGTTACAGAGCCTGCTAGCAGAGTGCTCTCACAGACAATGCCACGCTGGTCTCGGTGCCTCTTCTTGCCACAGGCAAGACGCGGGCCTTGCCCGAGGCAGGGAGAGCCCTGGCACGGCCGGTCCAGCTGGCAGCCAGCACGGCATCTTAGTGAATAGGATTAGAGATTAACTCCCCCAAGCCCCAGCAGTGACAGTCAGCTATAACCGAGTCTCACCATTATTTCACCTTTCTCGGGTATTAAAAAAAACAAAAACCAGACTCAGAACAAAGATCCTGCCCTCTGCAGCCTAGTCACCCACTTCTGTCACTCGCTGTGTGCCACAGGCATGGTTTTCACTGTGAGCAGCACAGGTTTTGCCAACTCATTGGAAAATAATGGAACAAGCCCAACTGGGACCGAATCCAATAAAATCAAGTGGCCTTGTGTTCCTTGTGCTTTTGGTGCTTAGCACCAATTCAGTGACGCTTTCCCATGTGAAGAAACCTCCTCTTTGCTGTGAAGACAAGTCCATCCACCGATTCAAGAGATCAAACAAGCTCCGAAGCCATGTTTGTTCTGTCCCACTGCCAGCTACACTTCCCCCTGCCCACTCGAGTCCAGGGGGTTGGGCAGGGAAGAAGAGCCTCCCTGAAAGCAGCCGCTTAAGCTTTTAGCAGTTCTGAATAGGCAGAAGCTGCACCACCCCCTGCAAATCTCCGGGGCTGCATCACAGTATTATTTCTTACCCCACCTGCTAGAGGAAGTTACCTTTTCCTTTCCACAGAAAAAGCGTTCCTTGTCCCATACTCATCTCCACGTTCTGTCTCTGTGGGCTATCAACATTTTAACTGCAGAAAGCTGATCCAACACTCAGTGACAACTCTTTCTTGAGGGAGGAGCTGCTACGCTGCTCCAGTCTAGTGCCCAGAGGCTGACAAGACCTACCTTCTTCAGAGAGATTGTTCTCTTTGGTCTCCTGGTCCATCTGGCGGCACCAGCCTTCTAACCGCTCCGTTTCTGCCTGCAGCAGCTTCAGAAACCAGTACCCGTCCCGCCGGCAGGCTCCTGGCTGCGTGGGTTCTGATGGCGAGGTGGAGGAGGTCTCAAGCCAGGGGTCAGGAGGAGGGAGGGAGGAAGGTTCCAGGGCTGGGTCATTGTTTTCTCCATAGGAGAGGTTTCTCTTAATCTGTGAGGGCTTGGCTGGTTGCCTGGTAGTGGCATCAACACCAACAGAGTTGTTGTGTTGGGGGCACTCAGCGAGGCTTCTCTCAGATGATTTACAGCTAGAGTTATTAGGTTCCTGTGTGTCAGAGTCTGTGTCCTGTTTGGAGGACATGCTGCGAGAGTGGCTGTTTCTAGAGAGATCAAAAGCAAACATGAAAAGGCAGAACTCAACCTGGCTGGCCTCACACACTGACGGTGAAATGCATTTATTCCACCTGCAGATGAGCCTCACCCTGCCCACCCTGCCCCTCCTCACACACAGACACACACCACATGTTCAGACAGACAAAATTATAAGGTTGCCTGCTTACTGCAATAGGCTGTTCAGACGAGAGGACTGACGCACATCTATAATTAACATCTGGTACCTTTTTTTTTTCTAAATTTCAAACTCCCATCCATTTGGCTGTTTACAGAACAAGTGCTTTTTGCAGCAGGTGTGTGCCGTGGAGGAAGAGCTCTCCATGGGCCCCCCATTCAACACCACTCATATTGGAACGAAGAAGGGGAGAAGGTCTAAGCGAAAGTGGGGGAAGCGCAATTTAAAAGAAAGGAAACTATAAAAGCTTGCGTCTTTCACTTACCGCCACTCGTCCTCTACCTGTACCCCGATGGACTGGAATTTGGTGGCTGGTGGAGGAGGCTCCTCTTTTGCCACTGGCTGAAGGCAGTCAACCTTATCAAACAAAAAAAACACAGACAAGAACAGACACAAGAACTTGCTGCTGGAATCCACGTCAGTAGACCCAGGCACCTGCCCTATGAGCCCTCGGCCCTGCTGCCCGCCGCTGTTCGCACGGCTGTGGCACGCCGGGAAGGGCTGCGTGTCCCTGCGCATGTGGCAGCTGACACGGGCAAAGGCCAGGACGCTCCAGAGAGGGCAGCGATCCGATTAAGACCGACAGCAAAGCCCAGCTTTCTCTCTCCCAGGGACTGACACTCCATAGCTCTGGATTAAGAGGGTTAGGGAAGGAAACCCAGGCCACGGGGCAGGTGGCTTGGGGAGCAGCTCAGAAAAGGGAGAAGAGAGGAAGGCAGTCAGCCTCTCCAGCGCGAGTTCTCTCACCTTGCTGCCCTTTCAGCACGTTTTGCCTCACTGTCCTTACAGAAAAGCCTCCACTCTCACACATACCTAACTGACCAGCTGGCCTTACTGCACACCCAAGGGAGGACTTCTTCAGCACACACACACGTGACGGCTCAAAGCCCAGATCCTGCATTTGGACTTGCTCAAGCTCCTATCTGCAGGTAACGGCCGGCAGCACCGAGCCAGCACTTTGGGACAGAACAAGTGCTCGCAGCAGTCAGCTGTCTGTAACCGGGAAATCTGTCCACAGGGAGAGCGTACAACTGCAGACGACTCAAGTTTTGCTGAACAAAGCATGGATTTACACTACTCAATGGGTTCTCATTTGACTATATAATCAACAGCTCATTTCCATTGATTTCCACAGAGTTAAATGCTTCCAGCAAGAGAAGCAGCCACCTGCTGGGAACGGTGGACAGCAAGGAATCGCTCCCTCCTGCCTACAGCCCTGGGACCACTTTCCACTGCAGCAGCCCAGACTACAGGGATGTCAAGCAGAAGGGCCCACCTCTGAGAATAAAGTTGTCCCTAGAACCACGATGGACAAGGAGCAGATTGATGCCAAGTAATACGTAGTTCAGAGCACAGGCTCAGCACAGGCATACTAGCAGCAAAAGGCCTCTTTGGAGGGACTCGCCCCGTTAACATGGTCCCACTGCTTTATGAAACATTTAAATTCTGTACTAAAAGAACTTAGTCCTTCCTGGTCTGTTATGGAAAGCTGCTGTACTGCACCCCTGGGATCACAGGAAGTGAGTCTGACAAGGCAGTCAGTGTCTCTTGCTATTCTAAGTGAGATCAGATGCACACCTGGTCACACAAAATGCACACGCTAAATGGATGGGTTAAGGACATTCCTTAGAACAAAGGAGAGCAAACTATTCCATACTTGTATTCCTATAGACGACAGCTTTCTTTTGGGGACGTTCTCCACTTTCGGCTCTTCGCTAGTCAGAGTCCCTTTGTCACTTTTCAAAGCTGCATTTTTCTGGGGTAACTCTGGAGTGTCTCTTGCTGGAGTCACGACGCTTCCCCTTGTCACGCTGGGCGTCCTGGTACTGTCCAAGCTGTCCGAAGAGTTGCTGAGTCCCGACTGGCTGGTCACCTCGCTCTTGTGGTCCTGGCTGTCCAGGTAGGTGTCCTGCGCAGATTCAGTGCTGCTCTGCACAGTGACAGAGATGAACGGCTTTGATGTGGTCCGAGGTGGGACAGGAGGTGGAGTCTTTTTATATGCCACTAGGCATGATGAACCTGCAGTAATGGAGGTGGGAAGAACGGAGAACACAAAGACAGATTGGGGGGGAGAGAGAGAGAGAGATACAGTAGAAGAGAAAGAAAAAGCAGGTCAGTCACAACATCCAAGAGGAGCCTCCAAGTAGAAGCTGGAGGCAGAAACGCAGAAACAGCCTACAGCCAGCAGCTCACACTGGGCAACCCAAACCAAAGCATAAGGGGAAGCAGAAGGCAGAGCCAGAGCTAGCTTGCAAAAGAAGGCAAAAGGAATACCATGACGTGTGAAAGGCTGGAAACGGAGAAGTAGTATAGAAAAGCCTCCCAAGAATGCTACAGGGTTTGGCAGGTGTAAGCCTCCACGCTAGGGAAATGTTCTTTGGCTAAACCCTATGTTTTAGTGTCCTAGTACAGCCAAGTGTCTCAGCTCTTTGTCCCATCAGTTGACAAGTTTCAGTGTCTGGACCGGGGTGGTGTTTTTTCCTATAAAACGGAAAGAAGCCAGAAAGTTTGTTAGATGCTGACGGTAGGAACAAATATTTATGAAGTACCTTAAAAACCTAGCTGCTATGCATTAGAGGAAAATACATCATCTGGATGCAAGAGCCCAAGGGCGGCGAGGCTGCTGCTGCTCCACGTCCCCAGAGCCAGCCAGCAGTGAGGCTGAGGATGCGTTCCAGCAGGCACATGGGTCACACGTACCCACTACACACATGTACACACACAGGTGGCTGGCCACACGGATCAGAGGAGAGCACCCACATGAACACAGACAGCAGCAATCACAGAATCACAGAATAGTAGGGGTTGGAAGGGACCTCTGTGGGTCATCTAG